GCTGACTATCAGGAGCCATGGCATGTGGTACTGCCCCAAGTACCTCCAGAGGGGTCCCCTGTCAGCCCTTGAAAATGGCATAGCCCACCCCTGTGCCCCTTTCCAAGTTCCCTTGTTTGGGCAAGGACCTCCTGAGCCTGGCACTCTCCCACCTGAGAGGTGCAGATGGCATTCAGCAAGTGCAAAGCTGAGGTTTCTTGGGTCTGTCACAGCTGCTGCTGTACCCTCAGTGCTGGAAGCTTTTGTCAAGAATGCCCAGGAATGAGGAAGGGACAGGGCCCAGACCATCAGCAACCCTCTCACACCCTATAGTCCCATGTTACTCAGAGCTTCCCCTGTGCCCCAGCAATAGGAAGGACTAGATTGAATGGGCACCAGGGGGCCAGGCTGGCAGTGCCACCCAGGAAAGCCAGGAAGAGGCTACATGGGCTACCTGGCCCACTCAGGGAGGAGGACAGGACTCGGTATTGTCTTGACAGAAGCCGTGTCCCACAACACTGAACTGGTCAGGGAAGGGGTCAGGTGTCCCCATTTTTCAGATAAGGAAACTGAAGCTCCTGGAGGGCAGGTAACTGTATTCAGAGCACATGGCCGGTAAGAGGCACAACTTCTGCCTGCCAGTCTAGGATTTCCTTCACCAGAGGACACTGCTTGCTCCCCAGAGCTCAGGACCCTGTGTTTTGTTTCACTCCCACCCACAGAGCTCCCGTATCCAGGCATCAGCTCCAACTCCCACTCCTGGAGGCGGAGGTGGGAGGATCACTTGAGCCTAGGAGTTCAAGACCAGCCTGGGCAGCATAGTGAGACCTTGTCTGTACACAAAACTTTTAAAAATAGCTGGGCTTGGTGGTGGCACGTGACTGTATTCCTAGCTACTTGAGAGGCTGACTTTGGAGGATCACTTAGAGCCCAGGAGGTTGAGGCTGCAGTGAGCAGTGATCACTGTACTCCAGCCTGGTGACAGTGCGAGACCCTATCACTGCCCCACTCCCCGCGCCGAAAAGCAAACAAACAAAACAGTAGATAGGTGTCCTGTTGGAATGATAGGTCCTGAGTCCCTTCTCAGATCTGTGACATTGGACAGGTGTCCTTGCTTCTGGACCTCGGTGTTACCACCTGAGTGAGAAAAGGCGGTGGGGAGGTGGATCTTTCAGTCGAAGCGGTGTAGAAGCCCGTCTGAAAAGCCATACGCCAAGGGGCTCCAAGTCCAGCGCACAGTCCCAGCAGGGCCCAGGAAGGCAGTCAGGGCGGCACAGGCATCAGGTCCCAACCTTCTTACCTGTTCGCCCACTCTCAGACCACGGAGTTCTCATCTCGGAGCCACTGGCCAGTGTGTGCTCCTGTGAGGACCAGAACACACTGATGGAGGAGTTGGCAGAGCAGGCACAGCGGCGGCGCCAGGAGATGCTGCGCATGCACCACGTGCTGAAGGAGGGGCTCAGCATCATCCGCGACATCAACACAACCACCGTCAGCATGTCCAAGCGCCTGCCCGTGGACGACTCCTGGCTGCAGGTGTAGAGCATCCCGGACGAACGCAGGTACCAGGGCCAGCCCCCACGGTCCCCAAAAGTCCCCCAGCCCGGGCTGCTGGGAGGAGTGCCCGGGGGCAGTGGCGTACCCCCTCACAGGGGTGGCTCCCACCTGGAGTGAGTGGCGGAGCTTGCCAAGGAGAACTGGCTGCGGGGCAGGGTGGAGCTGGAATGTTGTCCCGCTGAGGGCGGGGCTTAAGCTCCGGCGACCGCCTCGGGGCGCGGCAGGGAGGAGCTTCCCTGCATGGGCGTGGCCGGCACCGGGCTGGGGCGGGGCCTCAGGGGGGCGGAGCCGCCCATTTCTCCTCTCTGCCTCGCTCCCTGTGGCCAGCAGGTCGCCTAAGTCCAGTCCCAGGATGCCCATCCCTGACTATGTCCCCAGCCTGGCCTGGGTCGTGGGGCCTGGCTCCTGGGCTTCCTCCTACTGGGTCCGCCCTTGGGGAAGCATCCTCCCTACCCTCCAGGCCAGAGGCTTCCCCTGATCCCTTCAGCCCTACCCGCCAAGTGCTCTCGTGCCCCACCCGGGATCGCCAGGTGAGTAGGGGCTGAATGCGGATTGGGACTGGAATCCAGAGCATTGGACCTGGCCGCCAGAACTGGCCGTTTCCATCCAAGGCAGTGGGACCGTGGGCGCCTGAGCCACATGTGGCCGAGGGCTGGCGGAGCCTGCCCCCCAGGGAGGGCTGAGTCCTGGAGTTGGTCGTTTTTGAGGAGGGGGCTGAGGGGCTCGTCCCACCTGCTGCCTTCTTTCCAGCACTTGCGTAGCACTTCCCTCTATTTTCACTCTGGGCAGTCGCCCACACGTTGCATTCCTATTCCTATCTTCTCCTTGTCCTCCATCCTCCATTCCGTCCAACTCCTCTCCCAGCCCCTGGGGAACCTACCTCAGGTCTGAGAGTCTGAACCCCGAGATGCTCTGGGTGTGTGGATTTCCTTCATCTACCCTGATGTCCCCACTTCCAAGTCCTGACTCCATTGAGCCATCCCAGGGGGTGTCTGGCCACTGCGCCACAGGAGCAGAGGCCAGGCTGTGACTGTGTGACCAACAAGGTGTGTGATGTGTGTATGGGTGAGCACACGAGTGTGAGAGTGTAAGAGTGGCACCCAGGCCTGGGCTAGGACAGAAGCAGCTGGGGAAGGAGCCTGGGGGCCACAGGCAATCTGATATTTTCTCCACACCCTGCCCCTCACTCTGCCCTGGACCCTGTCTAAACTAATGGGGTAGTGGCAGCTGCAGGGGCAGGGATGACAGTGACCGAATCCTACTTCACTCCCAAAGATTTCTAAGGAAGAGCGTTCTACTGCAACCTTTGGCTTGGCCTTGTTGACCCATGACCCTCTTTCAAGGACATTCACTCTGATTTCCAGTGTGCCCTGTTTCCACTGGCCACGTTCTCTAAGGAAGAACAATAGCATCTGTTTTTGTGTCCAAATGGCTGGAGAGTGGGGCTGTGGGTCCAATGCCCATATACAAAAATGAAGTAGGAATTGAGGATTGCCCTATGACGTGCTGATGACCAAGTTACATGGGTAAAGGTAAGCAGCAGAGTATTGGGCAAGAGCACTGGACTGGGAGTCCAGAGATGCTTCTTCACCCTGGGGCTTTAGGCAAGTCCCTTTCCCTCCCAGAGCCTCAGTATCCCTTCTGTCAAATGATGATGTTACCATTTGGGAAAGGCTGTCCCCATCCTGCCCCCTGTCCCTCTCACCCCTCACCCCTCACCCGTCATCCCTGCGCGCCCCGTGCGCACCCATTTCGGCTGGTGCAACGAGTCCAGAGCATGCACGCGCTTCCGGCTGCCCCCTCCTCTCCTTGACTCAGCACTGCTGGACCCATGTGGTCCGTTCCTCACTCTCACGGACTGGAGGCTCTGGGCAGCACAACCAGCAACTCCGGTGTGTGTTGAGGAGGGGCAGGGCACAAAACCACCAACTCGTGTGTGTGTGTGTGTGTGTGTGTGTGTGTGTGTGTCTTTCTGTCTCCCAAGGGAACAGCAGTGCTGAGTTCAGCTTGAGTATTAACTCATGGACTGTCAGCAAAATATAGTCACCAAAAGACTATGGGCTGTTTTGTCTTTTGCAGTGACGTCATGTTGCTCACCTTTTATGTTTTTCATAGTTCATTTTATGTTTTTCAGAGTTTCTGTTTATTCTCAGTTAATATCCAGCTCAATAGATTGTGTAAGTAGAATACTCCCAAACTGAAAGTCACCTACATAAAATATAGTGAAAAATATGTCACCCTCTTAAAGTATAGTTGAAAACATGTACTCATTAGTTTTGTGTAGCCAACACGGGGTACTGGGTAAGGGCACAGGATCCCAGGGCTAGACTGCCTGGGTTCAAGTTCCGATTTAGCCATTTGCTGGCTTTGACATGCTTGACAACTTTAAGCCTCAATTTGTTAATTTTTTTTTAAACTTAATCCCAAATGAGATAGTAAATCTCAGTTTCTTGATCTGAAAAACAGAAATTATTCAATGAGAGTCTATGTGAAAACTTTATAGTTTTTACAGCCACTATCTGGCTCAGGAAAGTCCTCAGCTTTAGGGGTTAAAGTTTTAAAGGCCACTTTAAAGTTTTTAAAGCCACTGCCTGGCTCAGGAAAGCCCTCAGCTTTAGCCATTATTAGCACATTATTGTTGTGCTGGCTACACATGCATTAATGAGGCAGGAAAATGCTTAAGGATAACAACCCAGATTATCTCATCAGACCGAGACAGATGCGTATGCGTGCATGCTCCTGTTTTATATCAGAGCCATTTGTCTAAAAGCCTCTTGAACTCAGAGGCCCAGGCAGTATCAACTTTGCTTTGTAGTGGAGCCATCAGTTTTGTTAATCAATGAAATTGACATAACGCTCTTTTTTTCTTTTTTTCTTTTAAACACCAACCATGTGCCTAGAGCTAACTGTGTCAAGAAGAGCATGCTTCAGGTGGCTGCAGTGAGCAGTTCAACCTGTGGAGGAATGAGAAATGATAGTGTTGAGACAAGAAACACAAAACCCCAGGGTAAGGTAGGAATCACTGAAAGTCAGGCAAAGGAACTGACATCCAGTGATGAGTCAGGCTTTGCCAGCCTCTGGCCCTACAGATGGCTCTTTGGAGAGGAAAAAATTAAGTCAGACCCGAGGGCACAGATCCTGAGGGAATGCCGGCAGCTCTGGGCTGTCTGTGAGAGTCCAGATTTGCTGCTTCATCCTGGGGCTTTAGGCAAGTCCTCTTTCCTCCCAGAGCTCCAGTATCCCTTCTATCAAATGATGATGTTCTGCCTTTCTCCTAGGATGGCTGTGGAGATCCAGGGAGGCAGTGGCCATAGGGATGCTATGTTAACTGCAGATGCAGCCGTAGGAGCACTTTGCTAACTGCCAACGTGAGTTCAGACTCTTCAGGCTATTTGGCACCCAGGTCTATGGTGAGGTGTGACATGTGGGATGTAAGGTTTGATGCCTGCTCCGACTCCAGTCTTGCTAACACACGCTAAACATTTGACAAATCATGACCCTGCCTTGGGGAAAAGGGCAGTCTGGGAGAGCTTCTTCAAGGCAGGCTGTCTTCAATGCAGTCCGGGGCATGACTGAGATAGGCTTACGTGGTGAGGAATTGGAGGATAACTGAGTAAAAAGCTGCCATGGGCGGAGGTGTTGTGTGGGTCACATCGAGGATAGCCCCTGGCCAAAGCAGGGAACAGAGACAGAATGAGGAAGAGCTCTGTGGGGAAGGTGGGGTATAGGGTGGAGAACCTTCAAAGTCTGAAGAGTGTGACTTGTTGGGGTTCAATGCTGTAGGCAGTAGGGAGCCATGGAAGGCTCTTAGGTGGAGAAATGACAGCTGGACATTGGTGAGCAAGCCCTGTCTCCATGAGCAGCGTGGGTGGTCCTCTGAGCACACCAGGAACAAGTGTGCAGGGAGCTGGTGCAAATGCCTCTGTGTGCGGGCGAGCATCTGTGTTGTGACTCTGCCCACGCATGTGCTTCAGTGTGCCGTGTGGCTGCATGTCCCAGATCCATGCGGCACCTGCCAGCCGGTGAGGGTGCTGGGCGGGGAAGGCAGCGTATGCGTGTTTTTTGTGGGCATGTGTGTTAGTGTGTGCATGCAGGCAGTGGGGCCTCACAGCATGTGTGTGCACACTCCGGCGTGTGCGGGGGCCCGCCACCCTCAGGCTGCCCCACCATGCGTGTGACCTGCCATGTGATTTGATGCTGTCTTTCAGAATCACTATCGGTGTTACCTGAGGAGCGTCAGCCTTGATAGGTACATGCTTTGCTGCCTGCTGCATGAAAGGTCTGCCTGCCCTGCTGCCCCAGCCCCACACGGGGGGCATACCTGGGACCTCAGAGCCAGGCTCCCTGCCCCTCCCTTCTGGAGCTGCAGACTTGCTCTTTGCTCTTTCTGTCCTTGTGCTGCTGG